TAACCGGGTGGCGGTTATAATAGATAATCACTGAGATAATCACTTTGTCTGAGGCCAATAACTGTTTAATTATCATCACATTTTTGAAAGAAAATAGACAACGTTGGTTTATTTCTGAAATATRTATTATTTTGTGTTTTAAAAGCAGGATGCATCAACATTTAATGACAAGCGCATGCAATTCATTATACTTTTTAGAAATAGTACCAAGTTCTCAACCAAAAAGCTCGCATCACTTTCTATATTCAATTTGATAATAATACCAAAACAAAATAATACAGATTCACTATTAGGTTATAATCAAGGTCATCACTTCTTATACACTATCGAAGCATGTATATCAAGCCTTACCACTGTGACTTTGGGAGGTACATATCCTGTTTCGATTCCTTTCTTCAGTAAAGAGATTAGTTCAGATACCTGAAATAGCCATGAGAATGTGACACGATTACAGAAATGGCAACAACATATCTGAAAATGCAGGACTGGTAAAGGAAGGAATGGGTGGCATATGCTATGTACATTTCATGCACTGCTTATGACTCTCTCATCCCTATGTAGTTCATGGGAACCCGGTCACCAGTGACTGCAGAGCTAGGGGACTGGAGGGCTACAAACCCTCCCAATAATTTAGCTGTCATTTTGAATCACTTATTTACTATTTAAAATACCAATAGCCAGAATGTGAAAAATTGTCAAAATTCCAATGCAATTAAWATGACGTCTTCAACTTAATTTAGATAAATGGATAGAAAATGTTCAGATAAAAAATACATAGACTTGCCCCAAGTCAACCTCTCTTTGCTCGAATATTTCCGAGTAAAGGGAGAATTCTGCACCTGAGTTGAGACGCACAAAGGCCGGCAGACTTTGCGAAAGTCTAAGGAATACTTGGCATTTTCCCCACCCTCCCTCCCTTCCTGTTTGGCAAATCAAGTACTGTTTTAACATCAACCTGAGTAGGAAATGCTTCAAGTCTTGAAAACAACTTCTTGTAGTCTTCCATTGTGTTGTATTTCATCCATGACAGTGTTCTGGCAAATTCCAGTTGTGGTCCTTCAAGATTATTTATTGGTAATAAATAGCTGGGGAAAAGGCAAACAAAAAGATTAGATTTATAATATTTTAATGAAAAATAAGTTTCAGATTCTTTTGGGTTTTATTGGCCTTTCTAAAAATGAGTGGGGGAAAGGGTCAAGTATTCCCTTGCAAAGGCTAATTTCGTTGTTACATAGGGATGTGTGAACATTTTTGCTTTCAAAGCAAATATCAGGATGTCAATCTTTATACAGTAACAGCAAAAAAACACTAAGTGAATAAGAAATGGCTGTAGTCCTTGTTCAATTATTGCATTGCAATTTTCAAATTTTTTAAATTTCTGATTGTTAAAACTTCTTTAATTAGAGTATAAATATCCATAAATTATTATCATGAAGTGCATATACAGTCTATGTATGACCCTGGAGCACAACTTTAACTAGTTTGAATTAGTTAGGGTTGATTTGAGAGGAGGGAGGAAAAACCGGAGGACTGGAAAAAACCTTGGGGTCAGAAAGAGAACCAACTAACCAACTCACATGGGGCACATGTAGACATTTTAAATAAATTGTTCATTTACCAACCTCTTGTGCACAGAACCATCAATGAAGCCCTGGAGTTCTTTCTTAAGAAGATCCACATTCAAAAGATCAGTCTACAGAATAAATTGAACAAGGAAATTCCAACACATCAAACCTCAAAAAACTGAGGGAGATTGGAAATTGCAAGTGGTGAGGGGGGACTTGCTTAATGTGGCCCAAAGTGGGTCCTCTCCTTTCCCCTCCCCTCTCCGCCCCACCCCTTAAAGTGGACAGAAAAATCAAGTATATCTTATGTCAAATCCAAACTCTAAATTTGAATCAAGAAATAAAGTATTCAGGACTTATTAAGTATTTCCTAAATAAATAAAAACATAAAAGCATGGAAATTGTGAAATGGAATGGGAACTTGGGCTGGACACTGGTAAGCTGCTTGGATGTTGGAATGTTAAAAATCAGTTAATCAATTCAATTTCTTTGCTAAAATATGTTTCAATAGCTAGTTAACATATATCCATTAAAATTTAGCAAAGAAAAGCAGTTTTTAAAGTGTTTCGATCCGGAGATCCACTTAACCGAAGTCCAATCCATGGTCCATTCCAGGATACGATTCCGGATTTTCCAACTTGAAAATTCCTTAAAATGACAAATTTAGTTAGAATAAAGATAAATCAGCAATTTAACTACAG